AGACAAGCGTATAAATTCATCACAGGTGATCGATCGGTGGCGTCCAAGTCTAAAGGGCGTAAAAAATAGGTGTTTTGCAGCAACGATTAAATGTGTAGAGTCTGGGAAAGCCTTCGAAAGGTATGTTGTACTAATGTATGTAAAATGAGAGGTTTTGGGATGTGATTTTTTGGGTTTGGTGGCGGCCCAGTTGAATTTGCTGTCACTTACGGAAATATAATTTGCTCCCTGGGGCATTAACATGTCAATGCCATAAAATAATCATAACCATTTATTTATGTGTGTCTACATGATCTCCTGCACAAACATGAATGGCTTGGATTTATTTTGTTGCAATGCCACAAGCGGCCCAAATAGTTTTTGGAAACTTACAATTCAGTATAAAAGGTTAAATGTAATTATAGGGGTAGAGGTGCAACTCTTATTGTAGTTTCTTGCATAGGGAAAGTTACAACATTGTGTAATAATTTTAATCTATTGCACTTAATTGTAATTTTTTCAATAATTTTCATTTGGGTTGGATTCCTCTCGTCGAGGGTGCTTTGTTCGAGACTTCATGAAGACTTACCAATAGGTCCTATTTCGATATATTTGAATCATTCATTTTATAGGTCATTTGTCACACCCCAAATCTGGGCATGACCGACCGTGGCCCACAGGACTTAGCCCAAGGCACACGTAAGCCTAAACATGAACCCAAAACCATAAGAATAAATTTGATGATAGCCTAGAAATAAATAAATCAACACTCAATCCAGTGACATACCACAAGTGAAAAACAAGTCATAACCAACTTCCTAAAAATCATATATATACTAAATGGAACACAAACCGCCCACCAAAATAAACAATTCTAAATAAAATCCAACCACATGTATCACAAAACTCGACAAAGCAACCTAAAACAATTAAATAAATGCCCTAGAAGGTCCATGCAATGAGTCCCCGCTACGCCATGAGTCCATCAAGTCCTTCTAACACCTAAATGTAAACACTAAGTCAGCTGATAGCTCAGTGAGTAGCAACATGGATAGTAAATACAGTTTTTGAAAACATGGCTTCAATTCCAAAATAAGATATATATCACAGAAAACTAGATTGGCATACAGTTGGTAAATACAATCTATTTCAAAAAGAAGGTTTCACAATTCAACACTTAAAATACTCATGTTCTCGCAAGAATATGATAAACGACATTTTCCACTTAAAACAGATTATAACATGAACACAATAATTTTCTGGATACCAATAAAAACAAATAATCTGTCATACAGTTCTCAAGGCTATAAGCCCCGTTAGATCCAATACTGAACTAAGAGTCATCCTCAGGGGTGGCACCTGGGCCTTTTCTCAAAAGACGATCCGATGAAGGTCACCTAGTTGTTTTTTAAAGGTCTTTTCCTTACAATCGTTGAAGCACTAGAGTTATCACGGCCCAACCCGTGATCTGTTCCCTAGTAGCCAGAGTCACCACAACACAGTGGAATAGATTTCCTTAGACTAAATACACACATGGTCCTAAAATCAATCATATCAGTTTCGCAAAACATGGTAGTTCATCATTA